GAATAAATCCCGTCAACTATCGAAGAAATAAATTTAGCGAAATATTTTAATAAATATCATTGAATGGCTTTAAGATAATATTTTTGAATTATTCGCGAGTAAGCAACTCAGACGGTGAATTTCCAGACCTTCCTCCGGCAATAATCTCGTTGTCGCAACTCCAGAAATTCTTGTGCTTCAGGCGACACACTTTCTAAAACTCTGAGGCTACAAAGTAACGCAATATTCGTAACTAGGCCGTCACATGAACTCGGGATAAGCTGGCATCTTCTCCCACCCTAAAAAATTCATTATATTTTGAAATATCCCTCATAGGAAATGCACGAAGAACGCAAGTTTTAAAGACGATGTCTGCATTATTTTGCCTGGCTGGCATAGTGCCAAGTGTGCCAAGGAGCATAAAAAACCAATTGGATCGGCTTTCCAGTTTTTAAGTGGGGTAGGTCCAGTCTGAATTTATGTCATATCGAGATAATCCTTGCATATCTCGATTTTCTATCTGAATCAAAAATCCTTGTCCAAATCCTTTCACTATTCCCCTGCGCGTGCATTTGGCGCTCAAAAATAAATGTTAACACTCGTGATGGATATTTGCTCGAACTTCCTGAAAGATTGAAAGGAATTGTAACAGAAAAGAATATTGTTGGGATCACGGGAAGGGCTTACGGCCCTGCTTTTCAAAAAGCGATGGATGCGGGGAAAAATTATTTAATATTTTTCCCGAGTCCCAACTGAATTCTGTTCTTTTGAATTCTTAAATGACCACCTGCGAACGATTTTTCAAGCCGTATGGCACAGCGCAAAATGCAGTTTGAATATACAGTGTACTACGTCCAAACCCCAAGTCTATCCTAGAATATGCCGAATTTAAATCCACATAAATTTCAATTACTTATAGATAAATGTAAAAATTGGATCGTGCATCTTCACTCAACCGCAGAACTCAAATCAGTTACATTTTCTGTTGAATGTAATTTTCATTTCCAATTAGCTTTCAAGCACAAACTCTATGCACATTCAGATAGCTGGAAATTTTTGAGCCTTTATTCTACATGAAGCCACATGCAATCATGCCTCTGGATAGTTATAACCGCTTCCCAACAACTACCGAAATATGCGATTTTTAACGTCTAAATTCCCATTGATATTAATGAAAACCAGAATTCTGAATTCAAGGCCTAATTTGAAAACTCGTACGGAGATAAGGACCAATCGCTTTGGACCGAAGTCTAAAATTATGTTTTAGTCGAAAAAATAGTAATTGAAGATGCTTCACCTAACTATAAATTAAGGTTTTAAATTTTTTATTGTTAAGCGTATCTTTCTACGAATATATTTTCACAGAAAAGAAAGTACCACTTTCTTTGAATCATGATCTACGGAAGATAAATTTTTGATGAGATGAGTACAAAATTTTGAGATGAGTACAAAATTTTGAGATGAGTACAAAAAAATTTACCAGGAGTGTTCATTAAAAGCTCATCTTTAATTAAGTAAAACGAAATTGAACTACACCAAGACGTACTCGTTGCTCCATGCTCATCTGAAATTGAAGAATACGACAAGAATTCTAAAGAGTTCCGAATTACTTTACATTAATTGATTTCACAGAGATGAATCCGGATTTGGAATCAACTCCTTCAAACTATGTGTGCTATTATTTTATACTAAATTTAATAAATTCAAGCCCCACGCCATGCTAGCAATATCATCTAAGCATATATGCGCGTTCATGCATGTACACTGCTGGTCTGGAGCAATAATCAAATAGGATATGCGATATGAGCTACCCAAGTGTATTGCCATAAGCAGTCAACCAAATGGCACTCATTCCAAAGTAAGCCGAGGCATCAGCAACTTGCATTCGCCTATTAACTTTATTTAATTTATGCTTAAGATGAAGTTAATGTGGTTTATTATCCAATTCAATTCTCGTACAAAATGAACTGAAATTAAATCAATAATCGCTTGAGGGGTTCATTTGGATAGGTTAAAATTACGTTTTTCATAGAGTAATGCATTGAAAACTTATCACGTAGAAATTATTAGAGTCTTTGTAGTGCTCTCTAAGAAATGATTGTAGTTTTTAAATATCGATTGAATATTTTTACCTGTGTTATCTCTGTCAACTGTCGAACATTTTTCTTCATCTACTATTACCGCGCAGAATAATTCAAGAAATAGCTTATAATTATTTGATAATATATTTCAGCTTAACTCCCGATTGCTGTTTTTTGTCAACCACAAATCTATCGGAAGTGAATAACACAAACTCGCACATTGATACGTGTGCGAAAAACGCATCTTTCCAGGAAAAAATCTTTTCGCTCTTCATCATATGTTGCGGTCTCAACTGCAATCAATCAATTATCGTAGATTGATCTGTTCTGATCACATTATTCATCTACAAATTGTACATGAACGAATACTAACACGCGACAGGTCTGTACTTGAGATTTGCATGATTGGTTATCCACATCAATCGATTCCACGGCACAGAAGTTAGAAAACATTTTGACTGTGAGGTTCTATTAATGAAGATGAAAGCATCTATTTGTGCGAATTAAATATTCTACGATTGGAGAGTCCAGTAAAATATCTATTGGACTCTAAGGAAGTTAATATAATGGTTATCCGCGATACTCTGTAGAAAGCTTCTTGAAAAGAAGTTTGTTGAAAAAACCGACACCGGCATAGACACTGAGTGAAAAAATTGAATCAGTACTCAATGCAGTGAGTGACAGAGAGCGCATTTTCTCGTCCGTACGTGAAGTCACGGACAGACGGACGGACGGACGGACATGGCGAGCATAATAGCGCCTATTTTACATAAATGAGAAAATGCGCTAAAAAAATGCGTAGCGTCATGATGGCAGCATTCTAGAACACACAGGTGAACTCCCAAGATTTTGACACCGACAGAAATGTAAATTTTAATCTTGAGGTATATGTTGGCAACCTGGATTCGTCCCAGTTTTTATTTCTTTTGTTCTTTATTTGATTGAATGTTTAATAAGTTACTCATGCTTCGATTTGCATACCGTGACGAGATCCGGTTACGCTGGTGCATTTGCGGTTGACCCATTTTCTTAACTAACTCTGAATCGAAACTGGGGGATCTTCCAAGCTTCATTTGGATTACCATCAGAATTCTAGCCCTGATTCTTTTACAGCTGTCTATAATGTGCTTCCGTGCATTCTTACACATTTAAATTGTTGCGCGTGCTTTAAAGAAACCTATGTGTTTACGATAGCTTCTCCAATTTCATACTCGCTTAAACTCTGTTATTTTCTTTCAAAAGCTTCTGCGTATTCAATCACTCCGAGACCGTGAAAATTTACACACACCTAAAAATATTCAAAGAAAATATATAAATTATGTACAAGTCGGCACACTCAACTAAAAATATTAAAATATACAAAGAAAAAACTATATAAATTGTGTACAAGTCGGCTATAATACAATATATATAACCTCTTTCCATACATTTTAATTAGAACAGTCTCAGTAAAGTCACGTACCCTGCGACCTTATAATTTCGCACACCAGGACACCGGTGCAATATTCCTGGACGAAGCCTAGCAAATTCACGCGCGGCAAATTACTCACTTGCCTACATCGACCTTGCCGCCGGTCTGAATATCGTCCAGTCTTCCTGAACTGCAAGCTGGATTTGAGCAACATACCCGACACAATTTAGAGTCGTGTCACTTGGAATTAGTGTAGAGAAACCATGACGGAAATCTAATTAAGGCTGGCGACAGCTGTGCCAGTAAAAGTTGAAGAAATAATTGGCTTTGAACAAGACTTCCTAGATGAATTTGTATGAAGGATATTTTGAGATTCCCAGAAGGATGTCTTGAGATTGTCGCTGGATTTACTCTTACTGATTGTGTCGGTGTGAAACTTTCATTGAATAAGTTTTCGTTCTTTTTTTCGCCAAACATGGAATTTTTTATTGATCAACCTCACTATCAAGGTATCAAACTGAGTGTAAAATTAATTGAAATTAATTCGGCTAACATTGCTTCGTTTGCTAAAGTTCGTTAGAATTTTTTTTAGTGTCAATAATTGAATTTTTGAACGATACCGAATTGAATTTATTTTTGGGAATTCAAGTAATCTAAATGGAAGGTTTGTTTAAATAATCTAAAGTAAATTGTATTCTAGAAAATGTTTAAAAATAATTGAGAGCAACTTACAGAATTTATTTTTCTATTCAAATTCAAAACGTGCTCTAAGTTTTCAATGAATACAGTTCCACATTAAATGAATATAGAATGCAAAGTAAAAGTTCTTTATTAATGCAGGAGAATAGAATTGTTTTGAGCAGCCAAGCCTTAATTAGATTTTACCCACTGAAATGTAAATAAAAGGGTCGTATTATTCATGACGAATTTCGCAGGTTAGGTTATAGACAGGTCAAGTTTCGTTATAGAACTACATTTTATCTAAAAGAACTTTTGCCTAACTTTTAAAAAATAAGGAACCCCGAACCAACTTTCGCAGGCAGAAAAATTTCGTCTCATAGTCACGTGGCAAAATCTACTGTACTATTATCCCTTGCTGCACTGAAATGTTAATAATGATCGTTGAATGCGTATATAAATTTAATTCATAAATCCCAGGGCTACATTTAAATACCATTCTTTCCAATCCATGCAAACTTTATAAATTTATACTAGGCATCAGTCATGGAAAATATTTACTGTATCATTGCAACTATTGAATGGCACATAATACGCTATATCAGTCCCTACAAACAAAAAAAAATATTTTTTTTTTACAAAACCCTATCATGGATAGTATCTATATTATATTTTATACAATATCCTGGCATGGATATATATACAATACAAGTTCCGAGAAGACTAGCAAAGTAGAAAGTCTTCTTACAGACAATTTATGTTAACATTAATTCATGCATCATGAGGTTTATGAGTTCTACCTGCACTGTTATCTTCACCACCACAGCCGCATAATTGATTCCATTACTCACCGTTATCTGGATGATGCAGCACTTTTGACCTAATTGTAAGCCAGCAAAACTTTCATCTCTGCATTTACTACCAGTGTATTTCAGGTTGTTGAAAGATATTGAAGATCATACGATTTTTCAATTCATTGTGTTAAAATTCACATTAACTCACTGAAGTTTTCACGCTTTACATGTAATTTTTTGTTTGTTATGCGAAGACTGATATTCGAAGACTGAAATGTTCTGAACCACGGCTCACTCAGCACAGCGTATTTTGCCTCACAAGTGCGATGTTCTTTCTTTGCATTAAGCCTCTGAAGTGAAAAAATATCATCGTTTCATAAATTCCTTTAATTGTTTTGGTGAAAGGAAAAGTCATCTTTTGATGAATATTCTTCTCGAATAAAGGGTTATTTGTATAGAATAGAATAAAAAATATTACTCTGTACTCACTGCAACGAGTGAATGAGAGCGCATTTTCTCAAAACGGACGGAAACGTGAAGTCACGGACGGACGGACATGACGAGCACAATAGTGCATTATTTTCATAAATGACAAAATGCGCTAAAAATAGCTGAGAGACAAGTTGCCTCTGAATAAGTTGCGAAATATGAATTTCAGCTTTTATGTATTGGCAATCACATTATTCTACATCTATAACAGTGTTGCATTTGATCTAAATTATGCCACTAAATATATGTTAACAACGTTCTTTTTACTCTACATTATTCCTCTGAATATTTCGACATTATTGTCTTTACTCCATATTATTCCACTAAATATACGAACAAAAGTGTAGTCTTTACGCTATTTTATTCCACTGAATATGTATCTGTACAACTGTGTTGTCTGTGCTCTATATTATTAGACATAATTTACGTATAACATTGTTGTTTCTTTAATATCAAATATCTACAAAGGGTGGTGCTGTTATCTACTAAATGGCTTTGATCATTTCTTCTTAAAGCAACTTCATTATTAGAATTTATTACCTAAATATTATTTCATTATTCTGAATGTCATCAAATTTAACCTTTTAAACTAGAAAATATTACATCATAATCGGATGATAAGGAAGCTTGTGAATGAAAATTTACACCAACAACAAAGATCAAGCAGGCACAACTGATCAAAAATATAATAACATGATATTATAGTATTTTTTAAAACCTACTCATGAAACAATGAATTTACTAGAAAAAATTTAAACACAGTGAATATTCAGTATTTGAAAACGAGAGAATTAATGTTTTCTTTTCTTCATAGAAGACTTTGGAGCTCTTTTAAAAAGCCTCATTTTTCTTTGTTTTGCACGGACTCAAAATGTATTGCACGGACAAATTATGTTTGCACGGACATAAACATTTTTTTTTGTTTTGCACGGACAAAGCCTCAAAATTTTTTGCACGGACAAATTTTGTTTGCTCGGACAAAAACATTTTTTTTTGTGCGGACAAAGCCTCAAAATGTTTTGCACCGACAAATTTTGTTTGCACGGACAAAAGCATTTTTTTGCACGGACAAAGCCTCAAAATGTTTTGCACGGAAAAATAACATTGGCCACTGGTTTTCAAAGGGATAGCATCACCGAGACCGCAGTGCAGTTAAACCGAGGGCAGGGAACGGACCGACAGCCGCACGACCGCCCCGCGCGAGAGACAAGCACCGACTGGCCGCGCCAGCGACGTCACAGGCACTTCCCTCTCCGGCCCACCCGGTCCTGCCAGGGCCTATACTTTCAAAAAAAGTTAAGAGATCGTAAGTTCATCAGCCAATCATTGACCGCCTTTCAAGCAAAATCCACCAATCATAGACAAGAAAATAGCGCGTAAATACTTACGTTCACTTAGCGAGTTTTGAAAGTATGGGAGCGAATGTCTATACGATATCTCCTTGTATATTTGTACGTGTTTTAATAGGAATAATAGTAAAAATTACGAGAATAAATGTAATAGAAGTGTAATAATAATATGATTTATGCTTTTATATGATTTTTATTGTTGGTTTTTTGAGAATTTTGTTAAAAACCAACATACTTTATTTATAGGAGTTAATTTTTAGACCTGCACTAATTAAGTATTCTTCTTGTATACATGAAAAAAAATTGAATGCTGCTATAACAGGTATAGGATATGTTCACAAAATATATCATTAATAAAAAAAATAGGCTCTTTCTTTAGATTAGACAAAAAATAAACTGTAACGTGAATGATCAATTTCAAAAACAAACAACATGAATACAATTTAGTAATGGATTGTACTAATAAACAAAGAATTTTAATTCAATCTGGAAAGCTACGAGTTGGATGAACGAAGTGCAAGTTTTACAACGCCATGAATATGGTAGGCAGTTGTGATACACGTTACAAGATTACATTGAAACTCTGTATAAATTTTTTGACCTAAAAATATCAACAGCCTCTCCAGGAATTATTTTCTTTAAAATGTAGCAGCATCCTCCATGTTAATTAAAGTTTTCAACACTATGATATAGCCACCATGAATCAATTGATTCAATCTGAAAAAAATGAGTTTCGAAGCATGGAAATGTAACACTTACACACACATGATATAATAATTTTAAAAAATGAATATTGAATGAATTTACGTCAAACCGAATTTATTAACCGGTTTAATTCAATCAACGCATCATGAATTCAATCGACTATTCATAATTTCAAACCAATAAGTTACAATGAATTGATAATTACTATAATAATAATCTTCATAACTATCATACTGAAGTATAACCTCGACGAGAGACCAAAGAACCCAACAGTAATATTTCATGCTTTCTTCGTAAATTGAATTAATCGTTTATAATTACCTTCTTTTCCTTCTTCATTGATTTCGTTAGCAGAATTAATAATAAATTTGTATTCAACCTGCTGTACGAGGAAAGCTCTGGAACGCTTCCAAGACGCTGCGCTAGGCAATGCAATCAAGGCCTGGAATTAGCAGGCAGCCTATAGGCATGCATTTTCTGAGACCTCATTAATGCTGCTTAAGTCCTGCAACATTGCATTATTGTACACGTTAAGCCATCTACTTAGCAAGCGCCGGACTCCCAGATCGCTTAAGTAGAAGTAGAAGTGCACAAGTGCACGTAGCGGCCTCGGTACACGTAACGGCATAAGGCCACGTAGCGGCATAAGTACACGTAGCGGCCTTAGTACACGTAGCGGCCTTAGTACACGTAGCGGCCTATGTACACGTAGCGGTCGAAGGGCACGTAGCGGCCTAAGTACACTTAGCGGCATAAGTACATCTAGCGGCATAAGTACACGCAGCGGACTAAGTACACGTAGCGACCGATTTATTGTCAGTGATTGGTGAGTTCGGCTTGAAAAGGCAGAACTTATGGGCTGTAGACCAATAACTCGTAGCTATTTTAGATAGTACGGCTTTCAAACTACTTCTGTAATTATGTTTAAGAGTCAAGCAAGTTTTCGCGTTAATTTCGAAACATTCAAAGTAATGGAGACGTTAATAATTTGCCTGCCTATTTAAATTTCCTACTTAGTCGTTATTTTAAGTGGCATAAATAAATTGATTCGGTTGTATATAATTTTTTTCAAAGTACATTCCGGAACCTTTTAAAATCTAAAAAATTAAGATTGCTTTCTGATTGCCCATTTTAGCATAAATATTGTGAATGAAGTTATTGAAAATGCAGTATATATTGTCAATTGTGTGAGATTATCGAAACAAAGTTAATAGGTTAAAAATTATACAACATTGCGAGAACCTGCATCTATTCATCATTAAAAATATCGGATCAGATAACAATTATTGAGCTCTAAAGGCAGATTCTTATGCTGCATTATTGTGGCGAGATTTTGTTGCTGAGGGAATATCTCACGTGAATGTAAGAGCTTTTTAATTATCACAGAAAAAAGTAATACTTCAAACTCAAACGCAAATAAAGTTCTACTTTAATTCTTAGGGTAATGCGTAGTAATGGTTACGATAAGAGTTTAGGATAAAATAATATTATGGCGACAAAGGAAGAAAGGAGATTTATATGGGGACATAAAAGACTTTAGTAGCTTGCTTCCACTCTAATATTAAGCAGCGATGTTTTTGAAGGAATTAATTTCTAAAAAAAGTACTAGCATATATAGTTGCTGAAGCTCCCACTCTAATATTACGCAGCGATGTTATTGAAGGTGACAGTAGTTGCTGAAGCTCCCACTCTAATATTACGCAGCGATGTTATTGAAGGTGACAGTAGTTGCTGAAGCTCCCACTCTAATATTACCCAGAGGTGTTATTGAAGTTACTACAGACGAGGCAGGCGGTATTGAACGTGTCCCGACGGTTCGTCTGCTATGATGATATCACTCCTACGCCCGACGCAAATTCCGCGATGTGGCAATTCTGCGCTGAAGATCACATGTCCGAGAAATGCAAGACGAAGAAAACATACGAACCTGCGTAGAGCTCAACTCCGCAGCCTTGCAAATTGTTGGATCGCTCACAATTAATGCAATATGAGCATTAATGTTTCTCGGCATAATATGCAATTAAGATCACTACAGAGGAACATTAATGAAGATAGTTATGATATTTTGGTTCTGAAGAATGGTTTGTGTTCCAGTAAATTGGATCGGTGTGTCCACGAAAGTAACATAATATTCATCGTTGCGAAAATAGCAATTTTAATTAATGGTTCACGACTCGAACATCGAAAGAAAAACATTATTATCGCACATGGAGGTTCTGTTTTCCATACAAATATCGAAATTTATTGGAAAATAAGAGTTTTAACAGTAAAATTATGGTAGTAAATTCATTCGGTGCATTTGGCTGGTAGATTTGTCCACAATCGAAACAACGTCATACTGGTTGTGTAAACTTTAATTTGTAAATTATAGCCAACATATTATTAACAATATTCATCTAAAAAACTAAACAATTCCTATTATTTCCATCAGAGTTATAATGTCAGCTGCTGCGGAGGTATATTTGTAGGAAATTGAACACTGTTTCTGCAGACGGAACGGAATCCTAAATGCATGTAAAATTTATTGCGCCTTCATATATACGCGTGCATTTGCATGAACACTCATGTATAAAGCCTGCATAGCGCATATATGCCGTCTGTTTACTGCATGTATTCTGTTTGTATTGTGTGCGTTGCATAGCACACCACTTGTTGTATATAAGGGAAAGTGAAGTTATTTTTATTAAACGACCTACGTCTATGCGAAGAAAATATTTGAATATATAAAATTTAGAAAATGACGACATAATTAAGGCTGAATTTGCTGCTGGACGCGAGAGATCAAGCTGAACGGAATTTTAGAGCTCCTAACGATCGAACAACTTTTTATTACCGACTC